CATGAAGAAAGTCACTAACCCCGAGGTCGGAACGTTTACAACTGTAGCCTTTATGCTTCCCACATCATGTCTAATACCATTGTAGGAACCCTGACTTGTTTACCATGATCAGTAAGTGTTTTTTTTTGGGTAGAAAGTGCTATCAAGTGGGGGCATGATTTAGTGGTACGAGCATCCAAAGATTTTTTCTCTTCTACTCACAGTTGAAAACTAACAGAATCAGCTATTTCCATGTCTTTATTTACCTGGCAAGCAAAAACAGGGGTGGGACAGCAGCCAACAGATTGAAATATGGACAGGCAATGATCAGGTTTAAATGGGTACCCTTAAATGGAAATATTGTTCTGAACAGCAAGCACAGGATCTTAATAGCGCAACCCAGATGAAACAGCACAGGTTACATTATCAAATTAATTAAATTTGGTTCATTTGGATGTGGAAGGAATCTCTGGAAGTTTGATGTTAAGGGATTGATGTCTGGAGCATGTCTTGCTTCTCTGATGTTCACTTCAGGTCTTCTCCCCTCTTTCTTGCACTGGACTCTGCTTCACTAATAGACTTCACACGTTGGCATCATGTGTAGGCTTCACGGTTTCATTTATTGTCAAAATATGAATATTTATGTTGCCCCAACCTGATAATTTGATATTTGTAGAGCAGTAACAAATTTGTTGAAACATTTTTCACGAAACATTTTTTTTTATGAAACTCATCTGTTTACACACTTCCACCACTAAAACAACAAAATAATATACCATGCCTTCTCTGACATGCTGTATTTCTTTATGCATTCAACGACCTCATGAAACATTATTTACTTTTAAATTACTGAATTAAGGGGTAACATTTTTAATTACAATGTAAGGCAGAGGTAGATAAACCAATGTTTCTCATTCAGTTGCTTAAAGGCAATACGCATGGCTGCATATACTGAACATGAAGAGAAACTTGTGTCTTGAGAGCTACTGTTGCATGTAGCCTGAATATTTTCTGCAAACTCAGAAAATAATGATAAATGATAATTTGGTCATTAGAACATATACAACAAAATGATCCTGATGGCATGACAAAAGACAAAAAGGATGAGAAAAAGTATTCTGTTGAATACAAATACGGAATGCATATATAGCGTATATTGCACATAGCGTGCTGTCCTGGAAAAAATGAGGTCATAAATTTCCCTTAAACTTTACATCTCATTCAGTTGCTTGAAGGCAATACTCATGGCTGCATGTACTGAACATGGAGAGAAACTTAGCTTGTGCCTTGAGAGCTACCGTTGCATGTAGCCTGAACACTGCCCATCGTCATCCTCATTTGTCCCCTCGCCTTCCTCCTTCTCTTGTGTAGATCCGATGTACCCTTTTGCAAAGGTTCTTAGCGAGCAGTCAGTGAGAACATGCCCACAGTGCCCTTGTGCTACTGAAGTGTTCCTCTGTAGCGCCTTAGGGCTCTGTCCCAGCAAACTCTCTGGGAGGCCGATGGGCACAAAGGGCTGATGTAAGTCCGGAATGATCACTAAGTGTCTCTCATTCAGGATACTCTCTGTCTGCTCACTGTCCTCTGTACCCAGATCTTCCAGTGCGCCCAGTGTCACAGATAGCAGGTTCACATCTGTACAGCCTTGCTCTAGCTCCTCCTCCACATCATTCTCCATGCAACCCTCATTTTCATTCACAAGTTCTCCTTCCAGCAAAAGTACTGAGAGCAGAGGAGCTTCTTGTATTTCTGATGCTGTTGTACTTGAGGTACCAGAATACTGTGGAGCAATGGTGGTTATGGAAGTCTTGAAATCTGCACTGTGGGACACCTTGCTGGAGCTTGATATACTGGAGTGTCTCATAGCTCTTTCCTCATAATGATTTCTCTGTTCCATCTTCTCCTGATAGCTTGCTTTAAATGGCTGCAGCTCTTCTGTTATGCTTTTTCTTGACCTTCCTATTTCAAATCTTACAGGGTCTGGGAATAGTACTATAGAATCTTCCATAAAGTAGGCCTTCGGCAAGGAGGTCTGCACAAAAGGAGACAGGAGTGGGAACCGATTTACTCTCTTGCTCCTAATTACACTGCACCCTGAACAAAATATTGCTTATCATGTTTTGTTTCTTGCATGAACTGTATTCATTTATGATTGGCAAAAATCAGTGTTTACCTAATTCAGCTCAAGCTATTTTGTTAATATAAATTTGACAATTTGTCTATGTGCATTTTGAGAACACTGGTTCTGGTTTCAGCGCATTTGCAATTTAAAAACGTGTGTGTGGCGGCTGTGGAGCATGTTGATTTTGATTTCAGTGCCTATGTCTGTTTGGCGCACAGCNATATTATAATACGGGAGATTTACGGGAAAATACTAATACGGGAGGACGGCAGGAAAGAGGGGTAAAATACGGTAGTTTCCCGGCCAAAACGGGAGAGTTGACAGTTATGTCTGCGTGCTAATGAATTTTTCTTTATGCTACTGAATGTTGTACCCTACTAGCCACAGTGTGGCCCTGAATATGGCTTTTCAATCCAAATTATAATTTTATATTTACGACAAATGTATTTTCATTGAGGACTGAATAAAAAACTTTCCTTTCGAAAAGTCTGCTGAAGAATTATTCTTATTCATGAGTGAGGGAAGAAGGGAGCGGGAGGTTGACAGCTCAGTGTAGCATCGGCAGTAATGATGAGCTAGAAAGCAGTTTTCGATTTACCAGTCAATCTATGTTCCTGCCTTCACCTATGGTCATGAGCTCTGGGTAAGAATGAGGTTGCGGATACAAATGGCAGAAATGAGTTTCCTCTGCGTGATGCTTGGGCTCAGCCTTAGAGATAGGCTGAGGAGCTCAGACATTCAGGAGGGGATCAAAGTGGGGCCGCTGTTCCTCCACATTGAAAGGAGCCAGTTGAGGTGGTTCGGGCATCTGTCTAGGACACCGTGAAACACTTTCTTTGTCGATTGGTTATGCAAATTGTCTGCCTCAGAAACACAATACAAACGCTACCTTGAACACAGTTGCAAAATAATGATAAATGGTAATTCAAGCAATTTGGCAGTACCAAAAGAACGGGACCTGGTGTGGTGGAAAAACAACCTTAGATTGCTGTCCCTGTTACCCAACCCTGGATAAGCAGCAGAAAATGGATGGATGCATGGAGAAAGGTTGCCTACACTCTGTATAATAACGAGAAGTGTAAGCAGAGTTGGTAAGAATTGGGAGTGGTCGGTAAGGCTGGATAAAGGCATCTGGATTACACACAGCCCTGACTCTTACCAGGACCCTGGGATGGCGCGTTTTCGGGTTACAGAGGTGACCAGTGTAGATGAGGCCTAGGATAACAAGTCCTCCCAGAAACAGCACTATAACGAATAGCACCAAGAGACCTGGAACTGGCCATAGAAACACAAAGAACAGAAAGAAATGTCATTATATCACTTCAGAGAGACAAAAACGATACACAAGACACATCCCCAATTACACTATAGGATTAATATTGTAGCGCCAGGCAGACCGAGGCATCACAGCGGTGGTGAATGACAAGGACAAGGCTCTTTTAAAGGGGACACTGAACTGTTTTATTATAGTCCTGAAAATGACTAGCACAGGCACTAATCAAGCACTGTAACCAAATACAATGAGGGAAATACAGGGGAAGTGCCAGAAAATAAGGTAATGGTAGGTACACGATGACTAGAGACATGCAGGGATCAAACAGGGTACACACAAGACAAGTATTAATAATAACAACAATAACACTGCCACGAGGGGCGATTTACAATGTCTCAGCATGACGCTACAATACACTACATTTACCAGGGCTTGATAAGTTACTTTTACTGGGAACACAAGATTTGGAATAAGGGATCCTTAATCCAAAGAATAATGATCCAATTTCTGAAACCTCTGCAGTGCACAGGGCAAACGATAAATTTTTCTGGGAAGATGCCCGCTATGCAAGATGGGCATTCCAGCCCTGCTTAACCCGGTATGTGTTAGCACCCTCCAAAGTCTACCTTTCTAAATGGAATGACTGCCTCACCTCTGCTCTGAGCGACAGGGCTCGTAAACGCACATGTCCAGCCAGAAGGCGAATACTGCTTGTAGCCCAGTGACGGGTGAACTTGCACACAGTACTCTGCTCCAGGCTGCAAGTCACCGAGCGTGTAATTCCATTGTGAGGTCCTGTCCAGTATGGTCTGTGAGAGACAACAGGATTCATTCCCAGTTGGCTAAAAGTTATATGAACACTGACAGGACATATTACAGTGTTGAACATTCAGCCAGCATGAAAAATAGGCAGCATAATAATACAAAAATAAACTGTAGGCAAGCAACTACATATTTAATAATGGACAATAATATAGCATGAAAGGATATAGGATATATATTTAACTCTGCATACTTATATGTGCAGTATTATTTATAAAGACTTCATTGTGTCTGTGTTATATATTAGTTTGTGGGGCAGTAGAAGGCAGTTTCAGCAGTTATTTTATTACCTGTTGTTCTGATTTATTAAGAAAAATGGTAAATTCGAGTGCATTGTATATTTTCTCAGTTAGACTTTTTTCTTTTCTTCTGGGGAATTTTATGGCCAGTTGAAGACAATTGCCACAGCCCACCACAGACAACTCAGGAGGTCCAAGAACAGCTAAACAAAACAAGACATTAGGATTTATTGCACACGCTCAAAGAAAGTCATGTTTTGCATAACACATCCACATACATAATAATTGTTATACTAATATAAATTAGTCAAAAATTCAAGTGCAATTCACCTTATGATTGCAGTGTGGCCCCAGTACAAGTCATACAAAGCACATATTATGCTATTATATTACAACACAGTATATGATAACACCATATTATATAACCAAAATTTGTTACATTTTATTATTACATAATGCAGCACTGTTACATACACATCTGGCACCTATCCTGATTTTTAGCTATAACCTAGCCAAAATAGCTTTTATGTATTCATTTAGTGCAGGAAAGTCATATCTCAAGCATGAAACAAGCCAGAAATATTGCTAGTCTCACTGTCAGTACGGTAAAGGTACAAGTCAGTCATTTACTTGTTAATTACTAAGATGTACAAATAAATTATTAGGACAAAATGGCTAGTAGGAAAAACAGTTTTTAATAATGTAAACATGTTTAATTTCCAGTTAAATAGCTGGGTAACTAAAATGTCCCCTCAATGTAATAAAAACCTATTGTTTTGACGTTGTGGAGACCATTTTTTTTGGTCCCCACAAGGAGAAATTCAATTTCATAAAAAATCTGTGACTGCAATCAAAACTATAAATGACAAAAATTTTGTATTTGTATTTTGTTTGGTTACTTATTATTAGTTTTAAGGCTGGGTAGGTTAAGGTTGTCATTGTTGGGATTAGAGTTAATCATTTACCAGAGAAATGAATGGATAGTCCCCACAAAGATATGAATGCAAACATTGTGTCTATGTGTGTGTGTGTGTGTGTGTGTGTGTGTGTGATGGAACTGCATCCCGGTAAAGAAGTTTTGTTGCCTTTGTGGCCTGTGCTGCATGGAACAGGCTCTAGGCTGGCCCATGAGCCCATAATAGTGATTTGCAGCACCTTCGCAAGACCGTTTTTCACCCCGAGGAGAAATCTCGTCATGTTGTAATATTGCGAGATCTCGTGACAGGAGATCTCGTTACACCCCTACGAAAAAGAGTTTGCACAATTTGGAACACTGTTTTGGGTCATTGTTATAGGATGAAACTGACTCCATTCAAGCGCCATCCACAATGTATGTCACGGCATTGCAGAACAGAGTGATAGCCTTCTGGTTCAGCTGCTCTGAGATTCCTGTTACCCTGTACAAAACTCCCTCTTTACCAGCACCAAAGCACACCCAGACCATCAAATTTCCTCCATCGTGCATTTCAGATGGCGTCAAACACTCCTTCAGCACCTTTTCATTTCTTCTGTGCCTCACTCAGTGACCTAAACACCTCAAACTTAGGGTTGTCTGTCAATTAACACTTTTTTCAGTCTGTGTTCTTTTGCCCATTTTAATCTTTTCCTTTTATTGACCAGTCTTAAACATGGCTTTTTCTTTTAAACTGTGCCTAGAAGACCAGAATCTCAGAGTATCCTCTGAACTGTTGAAGATGACACTTGTGTTTTGTAGGTACTGTTTAATAAAGCTGCCAGCTGAGGACCTGTGAGGCATCTGCTTCTCAAATTAGAAACTCTGATGTTTTTATCTTTCTGCACAGTTGGGCACCTGGCCCTCTCACTTCTCTTTCCATCCTGGTTAGAGTGGCTTTGCGCTGTTCTGTGAAGGAAGTGCTGTGCTCCTTTTTATATATCTTCAGTTTCTTGCTAATCGCTTGCTTGTAATACCCATCGTTTCTCAAAACTACAACAGACCGATGAGTTTCTGAAGAAAGCTCTCTCTTTATGACCATTTTGAGACCATAAAACCCCACAAAAGCTGGTGCCCCATGCAGCCCAAAGAAGACCAGTTTTATTGCTTTGATAAACAGCACAATAGTTATCAGTTATGCTAATATAACTGCACAGGGTCCCAACCCGCTAAGCCACATACCATCATTCCCAATATAAAAGTCATCTTACTGTCAGTCCAAGGTGTAAAGGTCTTGGAGCTCCAGGGAGACACCATCCCATTGTGGAGCGCCTGGACCATAATCTCATACTGCAAATAGACATCCTCCAGATAGTCTGTCAGGTTCATTTCTGTATTACTGGTGGGGGGAAGGTACCCCTTATTGCTGCTGTAACAAAAGAGTTTTGCAAAATGTTACTCTGTAATAGTGCAGCTTATTTTAATGCTTAGTATTTGTAATGAAATATGTTTTTAACACTGACATAGTAAACACAGAATAGTAAACAGTCAGCAACTTGGATTTGCTACATGCGTTATATCCATCCATCCATCCATCCATCCATCCATCCATCCACCTCTCTTTCATAACTGCTTATCAAGGAAAATGTTACTGTGAACCTGAAGCTTATTTCAGGCACTAGACTGGGGACATCTTGGGTGAGATGTTAGCCATGACTAGGCACACAATCTCCCATACAACCATACATGCATTCATCTTCTAACTGGTAATTCTGGTCAGGGTCATGGAGGGCTGATCCCAGGTAGCAGAGGACACGAGGCTGGGGATGCCAGTATATCACAGGACACACACACACACACACAAACACACACACACACACATGTATATGGTGTACCTATCTAAATGGGGACCTTCCATTTTTTTCTATGGGGAAAAGCCCTAATCAAAACTATGACACCTGTAACCCCTACCCAGCCCTAACCTTAACCATAAGTAACCAAACAAAACAAACATTGCATTCACAGATCTTTGTGAGGGCCTGAAATATTGTCCCCGCAATGTCAAAATAACAGCTTTTTATTACATTGTGGAGAATATTTGTGCACCTGGCCCTCTCACTTCTCATAAGTTTGACTGGTTAAAGCCTCCACTTAAAAAAAAAACATCATTAGTATAACCAAATGTCCTAGAGTTGGCCTTCAGTAGGGAATAACCTTAAATTAGAAATTAAGTTATACTAAAGGTCTTCCAATCGTTTTCTATTTGTCCCCCTTCACCCAACATAAATCTTGAAGGAAAACATCCTGAAAAGTTTTTAACAGACAATTCTTGCTATTTACCCTAATGCCTCTAAACTCCAAACACACAAGCATATTTTAAAAACTAAGACACTAATTAAACATTTCCCATTGTAAACAATGGGAAAATGGGACATTACTTGAAACTAATTCTGTAGGTGGCATCAAGGGGAGTGCCTGGTCCTGGTTCCCAACGGAGAAGGTGTTCAAAATTCACTGAATGGATACTTAAATTCACAGGGGCTGGCAGGCTGTTCAGAGCTAGGAAGCAAGGTTGCACATATAACAATTAAAAATTTTAACTATTTAAATACAAGATACATACTTATAAGGGTTCTATACAGCAGCTTCGTACAGCTAAATAGAGCAACAGTCCTACCGAGATATATTAAGGATTCCATGCCATAAACGATTGTAATTTATCAAATTATCAACTTGGAATATAAATAAGCCAAATTAAATTCAGGATCAACTTGGTTACGGTTTGAACTATTACATGTAAAAAAATCTAAAATAAAATACCTTGTAAATACAGTTGCAGTACGCAAATGGTAATCAGATTAGCTTTCATATCTTAGAAACAAGTCTGCGGGTTGATTATTACCGCTGTGGTTCTTGACTACAAATGGATCCTTTATGAGGAACTGAAAGAAGAATCAAGCAGATGGCATTAAGTTAAACGATCATATTGAAAAATATCAAGGACTTCAATAAAAAAACATGACCTTTTTTTAAATTAAGAAAATTACGTTAACACTTGATGGGACAAGAGTAATATCGTATTATGCTATTACTTAAGTATTAATTAATCACAAACTAAGTCTTAGCTACATACTCATGATACTGATCTCGTTAATTCATCATTAATGAATTGTAAAGCATGTTTTATATGAAGCAGTTACTATGTGTTACTGTATCTCATAAACATTTTTGAACTACTGAAAAAGTAATTAAAACAAATGAGATGATGTTCGTTCATCATTAATAAATTGTGACACACCTTTTATCTCAGTTATTACTAAATATTTGTGCCCCGTCAAGTAACGTGTCACCGAAATTACGAGAAAGGACTATGATTTTTAAAGAAAAAAACAACGTAACTAATGAATATAAGTAAAGCCATTTCACTGCTAGTTTTAATGGTAATATAATAACAGTACGATTCATATTTATACTAATGCGTGTATATAATTTAAACCATGATAATATGTAACACTAGTTGCAAAGTACATACTACAAGTCGTGATATCTGCCACAACCTTGAACAAACTATTCAGACATTCCCGCAAAAATCTATCACAAAATTCAGTAAACGTAGTATGTCGACAACAATTTTCACAGTATCCTAAATACGGTTAAATACATAAATTTACAAATGTATTCACCATTCCGGTCTCTTCTCGCGATCTTGCTTACTGACTATTTTTTACAGTCCGCACTGCTGTCGACTTCCGGCCCAGCGGAAATCAAGCGTCGAGTACTGACGACAGTTTTCTCAGAAAACCTCGTGTCGACGCCTGTATCGCTTTAAGAATAATCATGTGACCGATAGAGTCGCGGTTTCGCTCGCTGGAGTGAAATGTTCCCATTTGTATGGGAATATGAGTTCTTACCATTTCATATCATGCTTTCATCAGCGTTCCATTCCAACATAGCACAAACCAGACAGTAGTCATCTACATTTCCTAGGATCATACCATTTGAAATAATCTATTCAAAATGAACTGAAATATCCAACTGCAGTTCATGAAATTATAGTTCATAACATTTAAAGTTGGATTAAGATTAACTGGTCAAGGAATGCTTCCTATAGCTTTATATTTACATTGTTACCCTGATAAGGTAATTAGGGCCATTTTGACATGATCCATATGCCTTGTGAGTTAATATTGTAATCTATGTTCTAGTGGTGTAACAGTTCATCGATTCTAAACTATGTATGTCGTCGTTAAATCGTATGTCGGCCTTGACAACCAATCAATCTCTCTCTCTATATATATACAGTATATATATCAACAATGAATAAGATTTACTTTTAAATGTAAATGTAATATTTCTACTCTAACTAAAGCAAAGCCCACAGTTTAAAGTAGTCCCAAGCAGCAAATGAAATGCACGTGTACAGCAGAGTTTAATGGTAGAATTTGATCCCATACGTACAGAATTCGGAGTGCGTAAGAATGTAAGCAGTATAATAACAATCATCTCGATGTGTCTAATGCACGAAATAAACACAAATATCAACAAATCATTAATAATGTTTAAGATAAACCACGTTAAAACTAACATACAAACCTCCGCATTTAGCAAACAAGCAGGAGCGGCATAAACTTGCTACTGCTTAGAATCAGTAGCAAAAAAGGGCAGAATACCTGTTTGATGTCTAATTGAAATACATCACATACTTTTCGCCCAAAGAGCCTATATAGCTTACAATCTGATACGACTACATATGTCGCTTTAATTGCTGGTTGTACTTATGAATTTTATAAAGGGTCAACGTTTGACTTCGTTTCTTAATAGTGGATTTGAAACACTGAGCAGGAACCACTTCATCCGTTATTGTTTCCTAGAGGGATGAATAATCAGAGCACACAGGAATTAAAATAGTTTGAAAACGGAATGCACAGCTAGCCAATTGTCATTTATTTATCATTTTGATTTAGGGTATATCGAGCTTGTCCTTAACAGAGATAAATTTATTTTGGCCACTGTTTATTATATACATAGCTAGCCATTTGACTGATCCTCCTAGTCTCTGCAACAGCTACCGCTGCTGTCCAGAGAGCTTTTCAACAGATCTTGAAGATGTCATCTAAACCGACTTGTCTCATAGTGGCAAGTGGTACTCTACATGGTTAGTTTACATACTAAAAAGAAGATCGTGAAATATCCGTAAATTCGTTAGAATTGGTAACGACAGTTCGTTGCTTAAATGTGCCTAGATGTGGTCATGATAAGGGCTATTATAAATAACTATATATTGAATCGGCTATAGCTGTATTTATCTGTGTCAACATTGTAATAGGAATTTAGCCTACTAGCACATCGTCTTGTAACTGGGGTGTGTTACTACATGTTTCCGTCTGTATACAGGAGTGACTGCACAGTCGTTTCTCCAGTCTTTCAGTCTGTGCAGCCCGGTATTTAATTTACAGACTGCGACGCCAGGGGTGAGTGAAACGAAAACCAACACGGCGTAAGAACAATATTATGCTAATACCGGAAACTGTTTTAATGGTCATTGACAATTCACAGCCAACCTCTATTTAATTATAACAGTCTTGATTTTAGTCATTGCTCTTCTTTCTTCCACTTTTTACTATAATGTATCAGTGATATATTGATCTATTTTTAAATGTTGGAAATTAATTAATTTGAGTTGATATTTTTTAATTCTGATGTTGAGAATGTCTTAACTAACCTGTGCAAGTTTCAGCAGTGTAGCTACAGTAAAGCCAGATTCAATAGTACATGAAAAATATATGAATATATGAAATCCAGTCACACTCAGTACCAAGCAGGTAACATGGCCATACTCAGGATCAATACATAACATGATTGTTTAAAAAAAAAATATACAGTTGTAGGGTGGACATTTAGATATATTAATGATGACAAAACTAGTTTAATGTTCAGCCATTCATCCAGGAGCTTAATCCAGGAAGTGCAGGACACAAGGCAAGAAATACCTTGAATGGAATCCCACCAAGGATAAGCACAGATACAGAGCCAGGTGTGGCTGAACCTTATAGGTGCTAAGTGGCAGTGCTGTGCTCAGTCATCTCTTTGTACATGTGGTAGAAAAATTATAAATCAAGCACTTAGAATAAAAGTCTGGACCTCTTAGTTTGGTGAGTAAAGAAAATCTCTTTTATTCCAGCAAGTTCAGCAAAGCGCTCCCAACACACTCTGGCACTTGGTACCAAGTCACCCCCGGCACACAGAGCAACCAGTAGATAAACCTTAACTCCCAGGACTTCTAAGGCCTGATTGGTCATGAAACATCAACAAACTAAGCTGAAACGTATAACAAACACAATTCTCCTGCTCC